AAGTAATGATTCTGTGGCCCTCATTAACAATTCTGTGTCCCTGAGTAATGCTTCTCTGTCCCCTAAGTAACGTTTCTCTGTCCCCAAGTAACGTTTCTGTGGCCCTAACTCTGTCCCTAATACAGAGCGGTCTGCCTCTCTTGAATGACTGGAGGCAAATGAAGAATTCTAAAATGGCCGCTATTTATAGCTCGACCATTACACAGTGCTGGCTGCCTGGCTGCTGATTGGCTAATGCGATCACATGTCATTAAGGAATGCATTATGGGTCAGCGCGCCTTGTCTGCGCGCCTTCCCAGACATCCCCGCTCCGTCGCCGCACATGTCCGCCGCCATTTTAGGAAAAATTTCGATTCGCGTGTCCGAAGTAGGCTATTTTTCGGAAATTTTCCAATATTCGACTCGAATTCCACTTCGCCTACTTCGATTCGCTTATCTCTAGTGACAACAGTTGGTGCAATCATTCGCAAATGGAAGAAACACAAAACAACTGTCAGTCTCCCTAGGTCTGGTGCACCATGCAAGATCTCACCTCATGGAGTGTCAATGATTATGAGAACAGTGAGGAATCGTCCCAGAAGTACACAACTGCACCGCATCAAAGGGACAATGGATGGCTGGGTCGTGGATGGGTGTTCCAGCATGACAATGACCCAAAACACACGGCCAAGGCAACAAAGGAGTGGCTCAAGAAGAAGCACATTAAGGTCTTGGAGTAGCCTAGCCAGTCTCCAGACCTTAATTGGATTGAAAATCTGTGAAGGGAGCTGAAAGTTCCAGTTGCCAAACGTCAGCCACCAAACCTTAATGACTTGGAGAGGATCTGCCAAGAGGAGTGGGCCAAAATCCCTCCTGAGATGTGTGCAAACCTGGTGGCCAACTACAGGAAATGTCTGACCTCTGTGATTGCCAACAATGGATTTGCCACCAAGTACTAAGTCATGTTTTGTGAAGGGGATCAAATACTTATTTCCCTCATGAACATGCAAATCAGTGAATAATTTGTTAGACATGCATTTCTTTTGAATTTTTTGTTGCTATTCTTTCTATCAATGTTACAATACACCTACAATTCGATTTTTAAACTGATCATTTCTTTGTGAGAGGGCAAACATTCAAAATCGGCAGGGGATCAAATACTTATTTCCTTCACTGTAAAGCGAATGCAGGGTCCTGGGTTTAACCTCAGCCTTCAAATTAAACCTTAATTTGGACCAAACTTTTTTTTAGTTTTGGATAGAGTAGTAAAAAGTTCTACCTTCTGTCAAGGTTTTATTGATTCCTGTATTCCTGCTTTGGAGAGTCACCCCTTAGTTGTCTTGGTGAACATTTTCACTGAGACATAAAGTGAGAAGTAATCTAAAATTTGACTTGTTACCAGAGCAAAAAGGTAAAAAGTTATTCATCCAATGGGGACAAATGTTCCGGTGGTAACTTTCTAGGATGGGCATTCCTCTCACTTTTTCTCTTTTTCTGTTGCATCTCCAGGACAGGAAGGACTCTCCCTAGTGGGACACAGCAAAAATATAAATCGTATAGGGGTTTTGCTCATCCCCACTCTCTTCAAAACTTAATCCCTTGCAAAATATTAATCCCTGAATTTAACCAATCTCAAACTGCCTAAATTTAGAAATTAAAGCTAAGCTGAATTTAACATACTAGACTCCCAGCAATGACTGCAGGGCCAACCACTGCTCCAACCTGAACAACACAATTTGATAAATGTTGTATGACTAATTACATATTAATTGTGTTTTGGATTTTTTAAATAAAGAAGCTTAGCAAAGCAGTAGAAGCTTAAGAAAACAACCTGAATGGTTAAAAGAGAAAATACTTAAGATGAGAACAGGTCCACCTATGGACACTAGCAAAAAAACCATCTGGTTTCATGGTGTCAGTAGAGTTAAATAAGTATGCTGTAGGGGCAGCCCCACAAATCCTGTGCCCCTGTGCACTCATACGTCTATTTCCCAAAAACAACCTTTGGACATGACGCTGAGCATGTGCACTCAACTTGGCCGACCATGGCGAGGCCTGTTCTGAGTGGAACCTGTCCTGTTAAACCACTGTATGGTCTTGGCCAGTGTGCTGCAGCTCAGTTTTAGGGTCTTGGCAATCTTCTTATAGTCTAGGCCATCTTTATGTAGAGCAACAATTCTTTTTTTCAGATCCTCAGCGTTCTTTGCCATGAGGTGCCATGTTGAACTTCCAGTGACCAGTATAAGTGAGAGCAATAACACCAAATTTAACACACCCTGCACCCCATTCACACCTGAGACCTTGTAAAACTAACGAGTCACATGACACCCGGGGAGAGAAAATGGCTATTTGGGCCCAATTTGAACATTTTCATTTAGGGGTGTACTCACGTTTGTTGCCAGTGGTTTAGATATTTATGGCTGTGTGTTGAGTTATTTTGAGGGGACAGCAAATTTACACCATTTATATAAGCTGTACACTCACTACTTTACATTGTAGCAAAGTGTAATTTCTTCAGTGTTGTCACATGAAAAGATATAATAAAATATTTACAAAAATGTGAGGGGTGTACTTACTTCTGGGAGATACCATTTCTGCGACTCAGGGAGAGTTGTAGCCACTGTATTAGCATCACAACTAAGTCACTGGCATTTTTAGTAGAAAGTTACATTGCAGTAAATTTCCTATAACAGTTTGTAAAATTTTCTCTGGCAGTTGTCCAGCCAAATACATTAAACTGGGTGGATATTGTGATACTGCAGAAACTTGAAGCACCGCTTCAAGCAGAGGCTGAAGTGTCTCTGTAGTGGTATTCAGGAGATGGGCAGCAGGCATCAAATTCACTCATCCAAATGGATCAAAGTGTAAAGTGTAGGATACTGCTCAGACCAACCCAGTGCTAGTAGAATATGTTGAAATGTGTGACCTCAGACATTGCTGCTTCACCACGCCCTCTGATGCATTTCACTCTGCCCACAGGGGCTTGGTCACAGAGGACCTCTGTGACCAAATCCCTGGTGGACCAGTCAAAATGTGTCAGTGGGTGTGGCCAGAGCAGAACTGGGTACAGCCACACTTTTTAACATATTCTACTAGCAATGGGTTGGTCTGAACAGTGTCCTACACTATACAGTTTGATACTGGGTTGATATAGTGTAATAGAAAAGAAGATTAATATATTCTGTTATTTCATAAAATTATGGGACCAAATCAAAATACATTGCTGTAGAATAAATTACGTTGTATGATGTACCTTAAAGCTAACATATTGAAGATGGTCAGCATGCTTTTTAATGATTTGCTGAATGAGATCAGGATGAGTAGACTTCAGATATGAAGTAGCTGGCTGATTAAGCTCAAACTCAAACTTTCTCCATAACTCAGGGATATGAAAAACTTCATTCCAGCGACGGCAAACAGATGATGCACGGGCTCTGTCCACAAGAGGAAGGTACTGAAAGATATGCAGTACTACATGGTGTGGCAGACTTCCCCAGTCAAGTTGGCAGGATTGCATTTGAGATTTTTGAAGCTTAGGTGATTGAGTGTCTTTTTTTTGTTTTTTATTCCTCTGCTGTCCTTCCACAACTTGGCTATCAATTGTAACAGTTAGTCTACCTCGTTTCATTCTGAAAAGAAAAAAAGGAACATTGGTGCATTAGAATAGATCTATCACACAATCCCAACAGAAACAGATTATAAATAATATTACAACTATATAGCATTTTTCTAGATCATGTCAAATAAGCCATTCATAAAGATGAAAAACAAGCATAAATCACAAATAAATGTATGACCTACCCAAATAGTATAAATTGGCACTCAGGGGTCAACCAATAATAAACATTGGATACATACAACCACATATGTGCCACCATGAGTAAGAAAAGAGCATAAGTTGCCAAAAAAGCAGAAAGTTCCTGTTACTCATTGGGGACCTGTGAGTAGCAGTAGGAAGCATCCGTCATGGAGAGAGTAAGAGAGAGGAAGGGGGGGGGGGGGGGGGGGAGAGATGGGAACAGGGAAGGAAGGAGATCGATTTCTCTATCTTATATAAAAAAAAAGTAAAAGGGGAAGAGAGCCACAGGGAGGGGTACGATTAGTAACTACAGCAGCAGCAGAAGAGAATGTTGGAGCAAGAGAATTGCTAGTGCTGACCACACCATTTTATACTATCTTTAGTGGACAAGTATAGGTGTCTTTAATATCAGCCAGCATAAAGAGGAAAACTCCCCTGGTCCCAGGCTACCTAACCCAAAAATCCTAATCAAAAAGCATCAGACAGCAGAGCACCTACTGACTAAGGCTCTAACCATTGCCCTGGATATACGGCACTGTATTCAGTCAAGGACTCGTAGTGTATCCAACAAGCCCAAATTTTGTGGAATTGTGAGATCCTGTTTTGAGAGATATGGATCAATTCCTCCATGTTAAAGATTTTGTTAATGCAGCAAAATCATTCCACAATGGTTGGCAATGTAATAGATCACCATTTGACAGGGACACATTGTCTGGCTGCGTTTACCATATGCATAGCCATTGACTGGAAATATTGGTGTTTGGGTAGGCTAGAGTGGTGTAGACAATATTGAGCAGGAGTAAACTCTAGAGGGAGGCTCGAGACTGCAGTGGACTTCGCTCATGTAGACACTCAAGGTGAGGCACTGCCACCAAATGTGAATGAAAGAGCCTGTATTTTCATGACGTCACCAACAAGTATCGGTGACTTCAGGGAAGTAATTATGTACCACTGAGGGTGTTCAGTGCCATCTGGCTTGCAGTTTGAAGTGGCATTCCTGAACATTACTGTACAGAGAGCTTTTGTGAGTAATCATGTCAATCCCATCCTAATCTTCCTCAAAAAATGGGACTCTCCCAAATCTCACTCCCATTTTGAACAAGCCCCTAATCCACAAGAGGGCTGGAGTGGAAACAAAATAGGTAGATGGATAAGACCATATGAGATTGGAACATGTCCGATGCCCAGGCAGATTCAAAAGCAATACGGGGTCTGGTGCAGTGTTTCTCAACTCCAGTCCTCATGGACCCCCAACAGGTCATGTTTCAGGATTTCCCTCAGATGAAACAGCTGTGGTAATTACTAAGGCAGTGAAACTGATCAAATCACCTGTGCAAAATAATATGGAAATCCTGAAAACATGACCTGTTGGGGGTCCATGAGGACTGGAGTTGAGAAACACTGGTCTGGTGTAAAGAGTTCTTTCAGTAGGGGTATTTAAGAAGTGTCAAATTTAAAATAGGACCAAAAGGCATATAGATTTTTTAAATTAGGTACCCATGTGCACATAATGAGGTCTGAGGTCCCCCAGACTGGGAAGAGAAATTGGGTTGCACACAGTGTCACCCTGATTTCTCTAATTTTTGCAAGTCCATGATAAATTATTTAGATGCAAGTATGTTGCTTGAGGACACAGCCAGTGATTTTTTTTTAAAAGGCATTCTTTGTTTGACCTCCCTTCATACCATAACACAATTCAAGTGACTACACAAACCATCCAGCAGAGATCTTCTATTAAGCTTTAAAGGACTTCTAGCCTTATAGCAGTGCCATAAGGAGGTTTAGCAGACACCTACACAGTCCTTAACAGAACTTAGATGATCACACTGAAATCCAGAGATTTGTAATGGTTATCCAAAAAGATAGAAATGCTTTAAATTGGAATGTTTAAAAACCTAACACAATTTAAGCCTAAATAAAATTAAAACCTAATTATGTTGTGGACCTTTTGAATTATGTCTCAAAAATATGACTTTATCAAGACATAATATTATATGGCAAACAGCTCAGTATAGCCGGATGCTAAGAGTTAATTTTGTCTTGGTTGAACCATCAAGGATTCTAGTAAAGAAATGGAGAAGGGGGGAAGTGAGACTTTTCCAAGACAATAAGACTGTTTGAACTGTCAACAAGGACTATTTGTATATTGAGGTTGAGAAGAATGCAGATACAGAAAGTCAAACAAATAGCCAGATAGGACTTCGACTTTCAAACATTTTAACAATAATGAGACGGGAACTCAACTGGTTGAAAGCTTAACCAAAACGTGCAGAGTGTGATGAACCAACAGACCTCTGAAATATACTATTGTTCACCAAGGGTGAAAGCATTAACAGTTGTTTACCATGAGTCCAACACAAGGGCCAGGCAAACAGAAAGTTTTTTTTTCTACACAGAGAAAATGTTGATTCTAAAACAAAGGGGTGAAATTTAGGACATTTAAGTCTAAAAGTTGACTGTATATAAAGTCTAAAAGTTGACTGTATATAATTACAAAAATATATTACAAAAACATATTATAAAATGAGATGTTATGGATTTTACACACCACTAAATATTCAGAAATGGGAACTATATATCACTAACTTGAGTATTGAGATGATGGGAAGTAAGATGTATTATAAACTAGCATTAGTTACATGTCTTATCAGGAAACAAACAGGATGGTATTTCAAGAAGGAATAACTGAATATACACCTATATTCCATGGTCCCTATTTAGAATATCATAGGTATGATCACTTATATCTGGAAAAAGACGTATATTTGATTCCTGAAATTACCTTAAGATTCCACCCAAGGTATGAGTCATCTCAAATACTCAAATTGTTCTATGATACATGACCGCCACCTGGCGGGCAGGTGAGAAATAGCTTATGTACACACATTTCTCAACTAGCCAATCAGGAAGCCTGGTGGGAAGGTATCTTAGAACAATGGATTAGTGATATAAAAGCCTTTGTACCTTTAACAAAGAGGAAGGAGCTCATCAAGAAAAAGCTCAAGAAGAGACCTCATCACAAGAAGACCCTGACATCTGAAGAAGATCTCTGCTGAATAACTACTCTTTCATACTTTCACTTCCTAAAACTTTAACTAAATTTCTAAACCTCTAACCTTATAACTTCCTACATTCTCCCTTACTGAATATCTATCACTTGTCCTATAATATCAGTCTAAAGGCGTTCCACTGCCAGCTAAATCCACAGGAGAGTTGCCTAGTCTGAATTCCGGGTGTGGTGAGATGTTTATTTGATTTTGTATCACCTATTTTCTCCGTTGTGTGGAATCATAGAATTACCTTAGTGTATCACAACAATATTGGGTAGTTAGATATATATGTAGAGAGATCCTGTTTTACTGTTAAAAATTGTTTGTTGCCATATTATAATTTTTTCATATTTCATAATTTATTGAATATTAATAACCAGAGTATCATATATCAAGGGCTTGCTTCTTGCAATCCTATGGCCACGGCTTGTGAGAATATAACCTTTGAGATATTCGAAATTATTAATTATTAATAAATTTAATAAATAATCATATCATTTAAAAATTGTGATATTGATGTAATTAGTTAGAAACCTCATTATTGTGTTTTACATTGGTAGGATATATATTTTTTGATTGTGTGTACCAATATTCATTTATCACCAGTCTTTTACGTTTTGTGTTAATATATATATAATTTTTGTACATAAATAAATTTTTATATTTATCTATTACAAGGCAAATTTTGTGTGTATGGTACGAAATCATATTGGCTAAAAGAATTCAAGGTATAATAATAAGTGGTGATCAAATTATCAAGGTGTCCAAATTATTGGTTTACTAAATATTTGCTGTATTTTATCGGCTGGAGGCACTGTAATATTTCATCTAAGGGAAAGGGACACGCCCTTTATAAATAATATATATCCTTACATAAAACCACCACAATTAGGAAAGACATTTCTGAAGTCAACAGCCTAATAATAGCGTTGTAAACCTCCATTAGAAGAGGCATTATGGTATGTCAGAAATGTTTTAGCAAGCAGTGGAAAGCAGGCCAAATTTTGTAAAAGAGGATTACCATAATTTTAAAACCAAATATCCTATATTACAAGGTGCAAAAGGCAGATTAGACACATTCCATCTCCTAAGTGGTATAGGCATTTAATGTACTGTGAGAACCAGCTTCAAACTGCAAAGCATTAAGAACACTGCCACTCACTTAAATCTTCTTTTTAAGAGTTTTTCTTGCCCAGTTTCATTAAAACAAAGTTAAAAAAAATTACAGAGGTTTCCGTTGCAGCCACCTCTCTGACACTTGCTGCTCTGACCTCAATCCTCAGGCCCTTGTCTGTGTCTTTCATACAGTTGTCTTACTCAAATGCCATGCATGCACCTAGCAGCTCTGTTCTGCACTGGCTCCCACCTGTCTTGTAGGTGAAGCCCTCCTGACTTCTGAGCAGAGACCTCCTCTTTCCACTTGCATGGTGCCTGAAACCTAAGCATGTCTCCATTAAAAGCCATGAAAGCACCTGCCCAATTAGTGTGCACAATCAGAACCCAGTATTGGAGATTTCATCCCTACCAAGTCTTTATGAATACTCTGGACTCCAGGTGCCAAACTGGATTTACCAACAGGTTTTTTGAGACAAGCTCCCTGGAGCCTTTCAACCTGCCTGGATGAGAACCCTGGGTGACACAGAAACATTTTCACACCATCGAAAGGCACAGCACTGACACAGTACATAAAGTCTTTGACAAGTCCTACTTTCATGCTATACGTAATACAGTATATGGGTTTAGATTAGACTGTAGCATGTTATCACTGGAAAATATCAAT